AACTCCTGGTATTGCTCTAGGTCTCATATTGTTTCTTCCTGTTATTGCTCTATCTATCACCAGTGTTGAATCTTGGGAATCCACAACTATGATATCTGGCTGATTTGGCAAGTACTTCTTTGTTTCCTTATTATTCTGCACGATTTTCTGCGAATCTTCTGTTTTTTTCGGAAAGGAGGAGATCTATACCATATACTGAGCAGATATATTTATATATATGTATAAAACATATGAAAATTTGCCAACTTAATTGAAGATATGGATGCCACCAGACCATTTATCACTTTCATAGAAGGCATCGCAATTTGTTCACTGAATATTGTCTTCATTATAGCCGTGATTCGTAGTCGAACCATGATAACTAAAACCATTTTGGTCATGCAGGTGAACATATTTTCACATAATTTTGTAATTCGGAATTTAATAATAAGAATTTCAATACTTAATTTAATTGTTACTTAATTGTTACGATGATTACGCAATGAGATCAAATGAAAAGAATTTTGAGGAATTTTGCCCTATAAAAAACGGATGGCTGCCTTATCTGTGAAGTGGCCAAGCAATATTCAGTCCCACAATATGAATAGTGCATTAAGTAAAGTAATTGGTGATGATTAATCTCATAATATATGAAAAATTTTCCTCAACAGTTGAATTTATAAATTTCAGTTTGCTTCTAATGCGATGAGAGGCGTTAACCATATTTGTAAAGGTTTAGGACGATCTATTCTTATATGGATCGGAGCGAAAAATGGGAAATCAATGCTTTTCTGTTTGCTTATGCCATGGAGCCTCATAGCTTTATGGTATATCATTAAAAAAAACAAGGAAATTAAAGAAAAGTTTAAATATATTAAATATAAATATAAAATATAAATATATTAAAATATATTGCCCAACCATCAACGCTTTTATAGTAGAATTGAAAATGCTTTGGAAGCAATGAATATTATCTTGCCAAAAAACTGAAAAAATAATTTAAGGAACTATCCTTTGAACAGCATTGCCTTAATGATGGGAAGCATCGATAGATTAATTTGTGTAATTTACCCACTTTTTTATTATAAACACGACGCTCGTTTACAAATAATTCAGGTATTTTTTTTTGGTTTAGTTATTCGAATTTAGAGGCTCATAAATCGCCGCCAAAGTCAGTTCAGATTCATTATAACTAAGGCTATACAAAAATTGCCAACATTTCTTTAGGTTATAATGTGGGTTAGTTTTGCGGTTTTACTTGGGATTGGAACTTCAGTGAATTCGCTATCAAAAGGGCAAAACTTCACGCTCCAGTATCAATGCTGGCAAGTTCCAATGAACCCTTTCTTTTAAAGTTTACAACACTATATTTTTTAGCTACTTACCGACAATACTTTTTCGCAAAATTTGAAATATAAATGCACAAACCAAAATTATCATTGAGGTAGAAAGGAGAAGAGAGAAAAACATCATTCAGTTTCTTCCTTTAAATAATAGTGATTGAGAATAAAAGTTGAAACAATTCCAGGCGTGCCGATATTTTTGTGCCGCCATTTCGCGAATTAATATTTGCAATTCGAACTGTTGGCAGTCTTGGAAGCATAATTTTGTATCTTGTGATTTACCTACTTTCAAGGAAATGGCACAATCTGCGTATGGAGACATTTAAAGTGAATTACATATTACATATTATTATGCAGATGTTTTATTTCTAGTGGCCAATACTTGTGTGAGTTCCCACCATTTTTGCTTGCTCCACTAACTAATGGAACCTTGCAAATTTGGCCAGTGAGTTATTTGGCGATAAGTGTATAAAAGTTCGCCAATACGCCGAATTTTTGCATGGTTACTCTTTTGAAGGCTTACTCTTACGAAAACCTCAGCAAAATTGAATCAATCTACTCTCTAGAGTTAATTCAACAATGAAAAACATAAGTTTCACGAGTTTGTTTGATTTTAGCTCTTAGGCAATAAAGAAATCTACGTGAAGCGACAACGTCGATTAACCATCTTAATGGCGTTTACGTGTCTTTCTACAACGGTCATTTTCTTTATTCCTTCAATTTACATCTATTTCACGGAAAAAATCGAATATTATGGCGTTGCGATTGAAGAGTGGCATACAAACTCTCACTTGGAATTAATCATTGACTTAAATTCAGTGATTCAAATCGTAATTATTTTATATTTTGATCGAGAGATATGGAATACTATTTCGGGTTTCGTACCATTTCTACCATCACGTTCTAAAGTAATATTTGTCAAAAGTATTACAAATGCCGCACATTAGTGTGTAGGATATTACTTTCGAAGACATTTCTATTTTCGCCACAATTTCTACTTTTCTATTCTTTCATCTGAACTTTTTTTACATCAGTCCATTGAAATTCTCGCCCATCCCAAAAGCAGAAACAGAAACATAAAAAGCGAACTCTCTTCAATGAATTCCTCATCAAAACAAGGTTTAATTATGAATTCCTCCAAATTCCTTATTCCCCCAAACATTGCCTAAATTTCTCTGTAAGAGCAAGAATTTAAAAAAATCAGTGCTCCAAAATCGCTTATCAGTACAGAATGAATAAAGTACATTACAATATACAGTATACGATATTTGTTTTCGTTTAGTTTCATATTCCAGTAATAAAATTTCCATCATTGAAGCAAAAAAAACAGCAAAAACACTAGTGGTATTATGATTCAGTGGTAGAATGTTTGTCTGTCATTGACCAACTGGGATGGATTATCCTACCCATACCCATCACGGGAAGTTTTTGCGCGTCATTTTCATTTTTCTTCGTTTGCACTAGCAATGTAGCAAGTTTTCGGGGAATATTGGCGGATCACAGTAAAAGACCTGGCTGCACATAAAAAATCATAATCGAATCGAAAACAATGTAAAGAAATTTAAAAATACGTTTATGTCGAGTTATGGAGTTTATGGCAAAAGGTTTCTTTAACAGGAAGTTGGTAGTTGGTATATGGACAGTTCCAACAGATTCTGGAGAATTCAACGTCATAACAGGGCCATAACAACTCTATAGGGAACCAAGATAGTTCGAAGTAGTGTAGTGCTCTTATGGACATGATAAAATACAACAGAATTTGAAGGAGTGCTGAAACAATATGACTTTTCTAGAATGGCACGGTTCTAACGAGATTGCTAGAGAACCATAACTAGATCTGAAAGATAGTTGTACAATATTACAATATCTAAGATTTTTTAATGACTTCCTCTTCAATATCTCGTTCATTCTCAACTTTGCTATAACCAATCTAAGCTGTTGCTTAGATTCCTTTAAGCAGTTAATTCCAGATTCAACAAGAGTAAAAGAAACTAGTAATTAAAGAAAGGTGAGCATTAATAGAATATGATAGATATTGCCGAATATAGGTGAGTTTTTTCCTGATGAGCACAATATGAGCAGAAAATTATTACGTTAATTAGTGGCACATATTATTCGATTTGTAGTTTGTTGAAATTAAACGATGCAAGCACAGCGGTAAGGTAATGTGGCCCTGTTAAAACAAATAAATTATCAATACATAAACGATAAACAGGAAGCGGATTGCTGAAGAATTTTTAAACAACAGCCTAGACGAAAATTTTAACCTTCACTGGCAACAATTTATTCTTAAAATCTCCGCTCGCGGATTCCATAGAAAAAGAAGTACTAATCGTCTCACCAGCTTACCTTACCGCCCTCAGTCCACTGGTCGATATTTTGACTGCACTTTCAAGAGAGCACTGCCAAAATGAACGGCAAAAAGATGGTATTTCCTTACAATGTTGATGCACTAAGAATATTCTAAAATATTCAAAAAATTCTATTCTATCGAAATTTGTATGCTTTTTCCAAAATTGAATCACAGTTTTATTAAGGTGTCTTCCGCCAAGCTCATTCGTTTAAGCCATTAATTTCAAGATTTTTTGAATTTGTCGGACTTTTATTCAAAGTGAATACGACGAGTTTGATGTGATTTTCGGGTCCAATTTTTAAAACTTTTGATCCTAAAACGAATCTTTCTCTTCGGTAAGTTCCTTGCTATGTCGGAGATCGTTTGTGGGTGAAAGTTATTTTTTGTTTATAAGAATTTGTGTTGGGTGTTCTCAAAAATTGTAAAAGTATTCGGTTTCATAGAAAATTTTAAAGCGAAAACTCTAAATCGCTTTAAACCTAAGAAATTTCTCTAAGTCGGATATTTAAATTCCATTTGCTTGAGTTGAAGTCGAATATCGTGGCCTCAGCTTTGTGCCTTTCGAGAGGAGTGGACATTTAATTAGAGGCGAAATGCAGGTCGCACTGAGAACGCCATCTGTGCCCCTTCCCTTGCCCCTAAAGAGCTTTCTGGCATAAGTAAACGAATCAGATGGTCGCTGCTGCTACAAAAATTTTTATCAGAATCGTTTCATTCGATGAGTGGGAGAAAAACTGGCCAACCATCTTTATCTTTATTGCATATTCAGATCAGTAGAGGTCTGAAATGTATTTACGTTTTTGTAGTGACAGATGTCAAATGATTTAAAGTTTGTTTAGCATCTCGTCATACTGCATTTTTTCTTTTTTTAGTAATCGATTGCTAAACTTTAATCTGGTAACATTTATCTGAAATTTATTTTGCGGATTTGTTTTTTGCTGGACAAGAATTAGCTTTTCCGCGGGCTCTTTCCTATCGAGCAATGACTCTCCCTCCAGCACTGTTGGCTCGTTTAAAGCGTCGAGGCATCGTACGGGATGGTATGAAATTTTTTATTTTGAATAGAATTCGTTTTTTTCTCTTCGATTATTTTCTTTGCAGTTATGTTTTTTGTCGTTATTACGTCTTTTTTCTCTTCTTAATTTGAAGGAAATTTTATTAAATTTCTTAGGTGAATAAACCTCATTGATAATTCGCGATAATTGGAACACAAGAATGCATTAGAAGTTGTGATTTTGAGAGAGATCCTTATTTTCCTTATTTTCTCTTTATTTCCATTCATTTTTCTTGACAATACTTGTAGTCTGATATTTTTTTAATTTTTTTTAAAATTATGTTCAGCATTTCTCTGAAATTATTTCAAGAATACAGTGATGTCGAATTCAGATTTAAATGAGGAAATTATCGCCGAAAGCTATGATTCTGAACTTACTACTGGGTTACAAAGCAATGTACGAGAGAAAAATGAAGCGGTTGGTTCTTTTGCTGTCGGTTGTCCGAACAAATGGAATCCTTACCATTATTGTGTGCAATTTTGTTACGATTATTGGAAGGATGGATTGAGCGAGAAAAAGTTTGTTTTGGATTTTTTATGGTATTTTCATATTTTAAAAAAAATTAAAATCCAAAAATTTATCCAATCGTAATAGTATTATAAATGTCATAAATGTCGATTTTTTAAAAGCTTTTTAAGACAGCAATTTATTTATTAAATCAAAGTTTTATCGGATTTATGATAATTAAAAATAACAGCAATAGTAAGGATGATTTCTGATAAATTATAATACTTCTGCAGTGCTCCAGCTTTATATTTCATTAAAATTAAATGGTTTTGCGAAGTTTAGGCTGGTTTTAAAAAGGTTTTTTTCTTTCTCTTTCTAAAGGCTAGGCGTTTTATTGAAACGTTTTATTTGATTGTTTAAATTTCAGATTACCTCAGAAATATACTGAGCAAAGACTGAAGGCTTTAAAAAAATATCCTTTGCCTAGTGGTAAGAACTTTATTTATTCAATGCTAATTAGTCAATTTTGCGAGTTTAACTTATGAAATTTTATAAAGATGACATCAATATTCTGAAATTTTTTGAATGAGTTTTTAAAGACTAAAATATTGTAAAAAAAATTTGTTGCCACTAAAAAATCTTTCTAATTCTATTTTATATAAAATATTTATTAATATTCAATATTTATTTTTTAAAGGATGGAAAGAAGTATACGATCCAGGTTGCGCCCGGCATTATTACTGGTGCCCTCGTACAGATGAAGTTTCATGGCTTCCACCTCGTCATCCCTTAGCTGTAATTGGTGATGCAGCACCCAAAGTATCCAAAGGTTTGTTTGTTTTGAAAAAAATTTTTTATCAAATTAATTCGACTCAAAATATTCATTTTTCGAGTCGTATTAATATATAAATACATAAATGATAATTAATGATAATTAATAATTAATTTGCCATAAAATTCATTTAAGTGTTTTGTGGTTGAATGATTGATTCTATCTACTATAACGTTAAAATTTAAATTTTGAAATAATCTGCTTTAGAACTTTTTGATAAACGAGAAAATACAAATGGATTAAATATCGATATTAATATTAATGGTAACAAAAAAAGTGTTGAAGCCAAAGAAGATCGGTATGTTGTTCAACGTGATGATTCCAAGCATAAAAGAAAAGTATGGTCTTATCATCATTCTCTCTATGATTTTATTTTTCCCTCCATCATTTTATGAATATTTTTCCTTAGAATGTTTTCATTTATTTAATTATCTAGCGTCGTAGTTCGTTATCAGATTCGGATCGAAGCAAACATTCTGATGCATCTGATAGTGATAGTGACAGGCGACTGGAATTGTCTGATAGGGATAAACTAAGTGAGTTTAATTTTTTATTATCATTTTATAGATATCCCAATTTCAATTTCGTTTTCTTTAAAAAAATATCCCAGCAGAATATTCGAACAAAGAAATAATTTTATTAATTATCTGGGACGAAAAAAGAATTTTGTGATTGTTAATGTTATGTTATAATGTTATATAATTATATGTTATATTAATATAAAAAATATTTGTTTCGGTGATTCGGTGATTGTCAGTAGATTTTCTCATTACTGTGCAAGATATGTTATTAATATCTATTTAAGAACGAGCTCGTCGAAAGGGTATCGATCCCATGGATCCTGCCGCTTATGGAGATAATGTCCCAGTGTATGATTTTTCTTCCAATTATGATAATTTTGAATTTTATTTGTAATATTTGTTGTGATGCAACTAAATGTACTGAGTTTATTTATATCATTTTAGTGGTACTTGGAGTTCCGGTTTACATGCACACGATAAAACTGGTGCTGATGTCACAGCCAGTGGTCCTCTGTTTCAGCAGAGACCTTATCCTGCTCCTGGAGCTGTACTTCGTAAACAGCAACAACAACGGCAGTGATGATTTTAAATTTTTAATTTTTTATATATTTATGTTCAATACAATAAATTTTTTTTTCCTTTTTTTTCTTGGAATAAAATTTGTGTTCATTAAACACAACTATTATTTTATGATCGGCAGAATTGGAACTGGTGCTGCAAGAAGATTTTATATTATTTTTATTATTATTATTTTATATTACTATGTATATTAGTTATAGTCATCTTCATCGGTATATTATTGATTTTGCTCGAATCATTTATATTGAATTTTGGTGAATGAACATATTTTAAGAGCTTCAAAGAATGAATGGTAGAAAACCGCTCAAGATTCAAATCTCGAGAAGTAATCCTTCATATGGTGCACTTCTAACACTTTGTTGTTCTGGATTTCAATTGGAAGAATCGATAGAATTCACCGGTTCAGAGGAAAGCTTTGTTAAAATGTTAGTTTTATTTTGCTGAATTCATTTGACCAAAATTGCCAATTTTCTGAGGAAATTTTTTGCTGAAATTTCTGAGGAAATTATGGTTTCTTAGGCAGTTTTAAATGGTCATTAGCGCCAAGTTTAATGACTGCCAAGTGTTATCGAAAAATTTTATGCGTTTAATATCACCAAGTCAACTTGAAATTGGCTATAATAAAGGAACTTCGAGTATAAAAATTAATCAAAAATTAATATAAATGTAAATGAATAGAACTAGACACGTAGATTTATTGATTTGTAGTGATGGAAGAAAGTATACTAACGATGCATCTATATCAAGATTTATCGTACGTAATTCTGACATGTTCGCGAATTTGCTTGGGAATGATTTATTAGAACAGGCACAGGTAAATAATAAATATATGAGTTCTATTTGCTTGGTGGTATGGTTTTAATATTTAATATTTTGTTTTTGTTTTTTCAGTGTTTTTCGTTTAAGGTTGATGCATGGGTAACAGCAGTTGAAGAAATTCTTGAATTTAATTTATCTGAGCAAGAACTCCTCTCTTCAGTTTCAGCGAAGTTAAAAAACTCAACAACAATGTGTCTTGATAGGTTCACTCTTGCGGATATCATGGTTTGGACTGTTTTAGCCAAAAATGATTCGGTAAAAAATTTAATTTTTCTATAAATTTAATTTTTTTTCATTTTTTCATTTTTTGATTAATCTTTCTTATTACATTTTTTGTACCCAATTATTCTTTTTGCTGAAAGCAATTTGTTTAAAAAATTGTTAAAAAAAAATTGATCGCAATTACTGGTTTTAATGTTTTAAGTTTCGTTTATGTTCAGTTCAGTTGATTCAATTAAAAATCGTGATATTAGATAATTCCCGAAAAAGGCTTCTTTTTAATTCTTGGAAAATTTTATAAACAAAATAAAAGTATATATACTATAGATAATTTTTATAATTTTATAATTTATAATTTTTATGATTTTTTAATTTAATTTTATTTATAATTTTAATTTTTTTGTTAATTGCTTGGTTTATTTTACATCCTTATATTTTCGTGCAGTTATAACTTTACGATTTTCGTTTCAGTTGCATAGAAATACACCATTCACCAATTTCTTTCGGCTTATTCTTGGTCATCCTTGTTTTGAGGAGGCACACCGAATCGTAGGAAAATTTGAAATACCAAAGCCGAAAATAAAGGACGATGGGAAGAAAGTAAAATATTTAAAAATATTTAAAAGTTTCTTCTCTATTCATCGTATTTTAAAATTTTTATTTTTTTCGTCATTATTCAGTTTTCTTAAGGATAATACAACAATGAGGAAAGGAAAGCAAAAAATCAAAGATGAAGGAAAATTTGTGGAATTAAAAGGTGCCGAAAAGGGAAAAGTTGTCGTTAGGTTCCCTCCAGAAGCAAGCGGGTACATATATATTTTAAGATTTTTTGTTTTAATTAATGGAAAATTTGTCGAATACATATTGGGAAAAAACAGATCATTAATAGGAAAGACGATTTATTGTATTTATAACATTTATTTATTGTATTTATTACGATTTATTGTATTTATATTCTAATAAAAAGTTATTTTGACTAAAGAATGTTATAAAAATAACTCAAGAAATGGAAAATAACATTGCTTTAGCGGTGTTCTTTAAAAAATTATAGATAATGATTAATTATAAATTATAAAAATTATAAATTATAAATTATAAAAAATTATGGTGAAAAAGTTTTGCTAAATAATTGAAGGTATTTGCACATTGGCCATGCTAAAGCTGCATTACTTAATCAACATTATCAACAAGTATTTGATGGCCAATTGATAATGCGTTTCGACGATACAAATCCTGCAAAAGAAAATGCTCATTTTGAAAAAGTATGTTTAAAATCGTTTTCACTTTTCATTTTTTCAAATATTTCATTTATTGTTTTAAGGAATCTTCAAGTTAAAAGATAAAAGATACTGGTAAAAATAAAATATAAAAATTCATCAAAGATTATATATTTCTAAAATATATATGAGACATTCTTGAGGTGATAAAAGAAGATTTGAAATTGCTGAAAATAAAGCCAGATAAATGGTCTTATTCGTCAGATCATTTTGAAATATTGCTGCAATATTGTACACAACTTCTACGCGAAGGAAAAGCATATGTGGATGACCTGGATGCTGAGACGATGAGGAAAGAGCGAGAAGAACGAAAGGAAAGCAGAAATCGTAATAACTGTATGTCTTCTTTTTTTCTTTTATTTAACGTAATTTGCATTGTTCTTGAATAAATTTCCTTCTTAATTTATTTCTTGAATTGGATATCGCCTTCATCTAGCGATGGAAAAAAATCTCAAACTGTGGGAAGAAATGCAGTGTGGTTCTACTAGAGGTCAAGAATGCTGTGTACGTTTGAAGATAGATATGTCTAACAACAATGGCGCATTACGAGACCCTACAATTTATCGTTGTAAAATTGAAGAACATATTCGAACTGGTAATAAGTACAAGTTAGTTAATTTATTTTCTTTCAAATTATAGATAAAAAATGAAAGTGAATTATCTGAATTTATTTGGTTTTAGCTGAAGTTGCTTGGGTTAAATGTTGATAAAAATTTTAAGTTCATGAGTTCCTGTTACATTTATTATTGTATCCATTTATTTTTTAGAATATTTTGCAGAGTTTACCCAACATACGATTTCGCTTGTCCAGTTATAGATAGCATTGAAGGAGTAACACATGCCTTACGAACTACGGAATATACTGATCGTGATGACCAATATAATTTTGTTTGTAGTGCATTAGGTTTACGTCTGCCTCGTATTTGGTCCTTTGCGAGACTGAATATGACACATACAGTAATGAGCAAGCGTAAACTGACTTGGCTTGTCGATGAACATTATGTTGACGGATGGTTAAATCTTCTATTTTCTTTCATAGATGTTCCATATTTGTTGTTTTATGGTAGAACTTTATGGTTCTATTGATATATTTGCTTCAATATTTTGTGATATGAATTTTTCCTAGGGATGATCCGCGCTTGCCAACTGTGCGTGGTATAATGCGTCATGGTTTAACGGTGGACGGTCTCAAACAGTTTATTGTTGCTCAGGGTGGAAGCCGCTCGGTTGTTACCATGGAGTGGGATAAAATTTGGGCGTTCAATAAAAAAGTTGGTGCATGAAGAAATGTTTTGCTTTGGCTTTTAGTGAAATTTAAAAATTTTGATTTTTTTTTGAGAAAAAAACAAAACCACTCATCATTGCTGGTTAGGCTTACTCCACTAGCTTGTTATATGGGAAATAAGCTATGGAATCTCTTGTTGATATAAATACATGTGAGTCGTCACCATCACCCGATATATATATATATATATATATATATATATTACAGCACACATATTTTAAAAATTATTTGCAGGTAATAGATCCAGTTGCTCCTCGGTATACGGCATTAGCTGCCAACAACCGTTTGGTTAATGTGCGAGTACTCGATAGTACAATTGACCACTGGAAGTCTGTATCACTTCACCCGAAAAATGTTTGTTTGTTATGTTATGTGTAAGCTGCTTTTTTTAAAAAATTGTTACGAATTGTTTCATGGATTTATTATCTTTTATTTATCATTGTTATTTTAAAGTTGAAGAACTTTCTTCAACTTTTTTTTTCTTTAGAATTTTAATGAATTTTTTTCTCTAGAAATTACTTTATATATTATTCCCTTTATCTTGGTATTTTTTCAATTTAAGTAATGTCATTGTTGATAGCTTGACATCGGTGAGAAGGCTGTTTGGTACAGTAAAAATATCCTTATCGAAATGGCTGATGCAAAAAAAATGGCAGTTAATGATATTGTGACTTTTATCAATTGGGGCAATATGAAGATCATTGAAATCAACTGGAACGAAGCGAATGAAATTGATCTTATCAAGGCGAAATTGGATCTCGATAATAAGGCTTCCACATTTTCTTTTTTTAAAGGCTTGCTTACTGATACAAAATTTTCATTAAAAAATCGAAAAAATTTTTATGATTAGTAAGAAAATTTAATTTTAATCTGATTATGTAGTTGATGGCTTTTTAATAATGTTTAAAAAAAATTTTCAATGTTTTCGAAAAATTTTCTGTGGTTCTATAAATTGATATTTAATTGATAAATTGATATTAAGGAATACAAAAATGAAATCATTTTTTCGAAATTACAATAAAATTATATATTTTATTATTGTTTGCCTTTATAATATGAAAAGAGGTTTTTCATGATATTTTAATTGTTATGCTTATTTTAGGATTATAAAAAAACACTTAAAGTAACCTGGATTGCGAAAAGTTCGACCATTCCTGTGAAAATTGTCCACTACGATCCTATTATTAGTAAAGCGATTATAGGGAAGGATGAAGATTGGAGAAAATATGTTAATCCTAATTCTATCGTGAGTTATTATTTTTAAATTTATTTTCATCAGAAAAATGTAAGAATGCAGTTATTAAATGCAATAAATGCAAATGCAAATGCAGTAAACTTAAAAGTGTTATTTCCTGATTTTTTACTTTTTTTTCTTTTTCGATTCCTTGTATTTAATTTTTCTTATAGGGTTAAAAGTTGCTTTAACTGTTTTGTTTGCAGAATTACAGTGATTTAGTGGGTGAACATGCTTTAAAAGATTTGCATAAAGGTGACATTGTTCAAATCCAGCGCAAAAACTATTGCATATGTGATTGTGAATATGCAGAGAAAAGTGAGCTTTCAGGAGTGGCAATTCCACTTGTTTTGATTGTCATACCTGATGGAAGTAAATCAACAGCCAAGTTGACTCAAACGGTATCATATTTCCTTTTTATATTTTGGCAGTGAATAAACGTAGCATTTAATATCACATAGAGCTAATGGGATGATAATAATGCACTGGCTGGTAAAACTGTTGGCGAATTGGAATCGAGGAATCAATTCTATGTGATTTTTTTTCTAATTGCCTTGAAATTATGCATTGCCTTGAAACAATAAATTTGTCTCTATATACAATTAATTTGGTGTGAATTGGCGAGAAAATAGTGCCTCTATCATAGGAATGAATCTTTCATTAAAGTAAGTGGTGGAAGGGGTTGTAGACAAAAAAGGAAAAGGGAACACAAATTATGAGAAATAAGGGTTAGTTATGTTTAGCGATTTTCAAAAAATTTTATTTCTCATTTCAATCAAAATTTAAACAAATCAACCGCCTAGTAAACTTTCGTTTGATTAAACTTTTGTTTAATCTAAGTGCAGAAAATCTATTTTTTTCTCAGGAGATATCGGAAGGAACCACTGTAAAATTATTAGAATTCAAAAAGGAGTTTAAAGAACATTTTGGAATAGAATATAAATCTGGATTCGCCGTTTCTTCCACAGAATCAAATGGTATTTATAATTCTTTACTGTTTCCGCAATTTTTTTCATTTATTTTTTAAAATTTTTTATTTCAGTTTCCAGTTCAGCACAAAATGTAAATCATACAAATGGAATGGATAGTCCTATGTCCATATATCTTCAAGTGGACAATCAAGGAAATCTTGTGCGTTCTTTAAAATCTCAAAAAGCTGAAAGTGACCAAGTAAAGGAAGAGATCGCCAAATTATTAGGATTAAAAAAAATCTATAGAGAAACAATTGGTCAAGATTACATTGCTGGCAAGCCTCCTAATATTAATTGTTCGGTGGGCGGAAATGCAGATTCAGAAGCCATTGGATTTTCTGCTGCTGAAGTAAAAAGTCAAGAGGAACTATTCATTGAGATTCAGCAACAGGGTGATCTAGTTCGACAATTGAAGACAAAAAATAAAAATTCGGTAGATTTCGTATTGTGTTTCGTCTGTACTTTTTTTCCCAAATTTTTATTTCTTTATTTTTTTTTTAGTTTTTACATTCTTTACATCAAAATTTTTGTCGAAAAGTTAAAATTTCTGTGGACGATTTCTTTTGATCAGTAGTGCGAAATGTTTTATATTATCCTATCAAAAATATTTGATAAAATCAATTTTTGAGATCAATTAAGTTTGATTAAGAAATTAAGATTAAGAAATTCTCCATATGTGCTTTTGATCCATCCAAGTTTGTTTTTTTCATTTTTTATTTTTCTTTTTGTTTCTAGCGAAGATGTTGAAAACTTTGTGAACAAATCTTTTTTGTAGTTAAATTGCAGAAATTAATATTTCCTCGCTTTCATGCTGGACTTTTCTTTAAGCACTGGGTTGTTTTATTTTATTTGGACTGGTTTTCAGAAGGAAACTACTGATGCTATAGCAAGATTACTGAAAATGAAAGAACGATACAAAGAAATAACCGGAAGTGAATATAAGTTAACAGAGGACAATACTAAAGACAAAAAGGTAAACTGATTCATATTCCTTGTGCGATTAATTTAAGCAGTTTTTTTTTTCACTCTGATGCGCCAAATTAACTTTTTTGTTCTATCTCTATAGCTGCCCATATTTTTTTTTATTTATTCTTCATTTTCTTTTATGTGAATGATATCTTTTTTTTCAAATTCTTTTTTTTTCTTCTAACAGCCCCCAAGCTACTCGGTCCAATGCTATTGCTGACAATAAAAACCATTCTTTTTTCCATCCTTTAAGTCCATATTTTGCTGATCCTATACCTTCAAAATCTTTGCTGACCGTATCAGTCCAGGTCTTGATTGGCCCACCTCGCTTTTGACGCCACCCATCACGGAGTTTAGAATTTTACAAATAACGAAATATATGTCAATTCCTGTGGTGGGCGGCGAAGAACGTGCCCTAACCAGTGAAGACAACGTTTTACGATGGTACTGTTAATGCAAGTGGTATTTGAGCGGGAGTGGATGCCATCATGTGCTGTTTTGTCCGCTCGGCGGACCAGTAAGATGTATATCAAACTTGGGAGGTCAAAAGCGTATAGCTTCTTAATATCCTGCACTCCCAATGGCGAAGTCTGACATCCTTTTGTGTAAGAGATATCTTTTTTTTTCAAATCCCTCTAGAAATGTTTCATAATTTTTTTCTTTTTTGGTAATGTATCAATCCAGTCTTTTATTTCGTATTTTTTTCTATGCTTTTTTCAAAATATTGCTTTATTCTAATAGAATTTTATTTTTTTATTTGTTTTATATTGTTTGTATTATTGCCTATAATTGATAAAATTTAGTGCTTTTAGCTTGTATTTTAGATTTTAGATAATGAAAAATGTTCTTTTAATGTTTTTGTAGAAAAAAAATGAAGTATTTATGATGAAGTAATGAAAAAAAATTTTTTTATTTTGAAAAAGACCATTTAAATATTTTGTTTAAATTGTTAAATTAAATTGTACTAATGTCAAATTGATTAATTGTGAACTATGTAAGGAGAGATGAACAGTATATTGTGCAGTCTATAGTGTTATTTATACGTTATAGGATACGTTTTTGAGGCTTGAAATTCAATACTCTTGAATAGAACGAGAATTAAGTTAAACATGTGTTCTGGCCGGTTTATTACTGTAATTCGCATATTGTAATAGCATTGTTTTGAAGGATTTGCGAAAATAAACTATCTTTGAGTTTATCTTTGAATTCATTGGAATATACCATATTGCCGCATTATTTGAGGAGCAGCAGGTTGAAATAACGGCTCCTCATGTCATCACTACAAATGAGCAACAGTTTGATGCAAAAAGCTCTAGTATTTTCGATAATGCGCAGTCATTAGAAACAAAAAAATTTGTTATTGAAACATCGAAAGAGGAGAATTGTGCTGAATGGTATTATCAAGTTAGTTTCTATTGTTCTAGCTTTGCCAATTTCACTGTAGTTTTGAAATTTTTTTAGAAAGGAGTCACAGTAACAATAATTTCTGGACTTTCCCTGGACAAGTTTATTGAATCCTTTAGTGCGAGCCATGAAATTTTTCGCTTACCGTCGGCGATTTAGATTTTCTCCAAATTGTAGGTGATTACAAAAGCAGATATGGTCGAATATCATGATATATCGGGATGTTATGTTCTTCGGCCGTGGTCATATTCGATATGGGAATTTGTAAAAAAATGGTTCGATGGTGAAATAAAGAAGTTTGGTATACACAATTGTTATTTCCCAATATTTATCTCGCAAAATGCATTGGAAAGAAAAAAGTCGCATATTTCTGATTTTGGTGTTGAAGTAAAATTTTAAAGGATATTAGCTTTAGATAAAACATTGATTACCCCTAAATTTTCTTCATCCTTTTATTCAGATAGCATGGGTGACGAAAGCAGGAAATTCGGAATTGACTGAACCGATTGCTGTTCGACCGACAAGTGAAATTGCGATATATCCAAGTTATGCCAAATGGGTTCAGTCTTATCGTGATTTGCCGATTCGTCTTAATCAATGGTGCAGTGTTGTTGTTAGTTTTTATATGAAATTTATGATGCCATGTTAAATAGAGGATTTAAATAAAGGAATATTAATTATTGACGAAATTTGTTGTTGAATTCATTATTTGATTAAAAAATCTAATCTATTAATTTTCTTTTCATTTTATTATTTATTTTTGAACTAATTTTTGATGTTCAATTCTAATTTTTTTGATTCTTCATTCATTTAATGAATGTTTTGCAAACTTTACATTGTTTTAATAAAGTTTTAACAAATGATTGACAGAATTTTAATAATTTTTTTTTTTTCACTCTTTTATAATCTAGCGTTTGGAGTCCAAATATCCGATCCCATTTCTGCGCACTTGTGAGTTTCTTTGGCAAGAAGGACATACTGCATTTCAAACTGCTCATGAAGCAGAAGCCGAAGTTTTCACCATTCTTGATTTGTATGAAACTATATATCGTGATCTTCTGGCTATACCTGTGGTGAAAGGTCGGAAATCAGAGAAGGAAAAATTTGATGGTAGCAATTTCACAACAACAGTAGAAGCTTATGTTCCAGTTAATGGACGAGGAATACAGGTTATATTGCTGTTTTTTATTTATTTATTTCTTTTGGGCTCTTCATCTTAAACTAAACTTTATTGAAATGCTTCGATTACCATCATTATAGGTATTCTCTTATTAAGGTACAAGAATATTTATGCTCATTCTGGATTAAACAAATAAACTTTATTTTGATACCCATTCATTGTAATATATTGATATTTTAAAATAGCTTTTTTATTTGCCATGTTTTTACAGGGCGCTACTTCTCATCATCTTGGACAGAATTTTTCGAAAATATTTGACATTTCATTCGAGGATCCACAAACTGGAACTAAATCATTTGCATGGCAAAACAGCTGGGGAGTAACGATACGAACTATCGGTGCAACAATTATGATTCATGGTGACGATAAAGGACTGGTTCTTCCCCCAAGAATTGCTCCACTACAGATAATTCTTTTATTCTTTATTTTTATTTTGTATTTTTTCTTCAAGATTATCGCAGGTTAATAGTTGAAAAGAAACAATATTTATTTTTCTCAAATTTAGATTGTCATCATTCCTTTGGATTTCACTAGTCAGTCCAATAAAGAAGAAAAAGAACAAATCATATGCACAATTAAGAAAGTAAATTCTTCTCTTGTGGAGGGAGGAATTCGATCGGAATGCGATTTCCGCAGTAACTATTCAACTAGCTGGAAGGTTAATTACTGGGAATTAAAAGGAGTTCCAATACGGGCAGAAATTGGACTGAAAGGTATTGCTGAAAACAAGGTATTATTTTAATTGTGCTCAAAGTTTTGTAAAATTTTCAATAAATTCTTGCAAAATTCTTATTTGTTCTTCTGGCATTTTTTAGGTCAAATGTGTCGTGCGCCATTCAGATGAAAAATTTTTTATCAAAATGGATGAATTAGATGCAAAAGTGAAGAGATTGTTAGAAACAATTCATGAGCAGATGTATAATAAGTAAGCTTTCCTTGATTCTCACATCCTTGCATTCTTGTAATAAATAATGATCGAAATGAATTTTTTAAAATATCTCTTAAATTTTTTATAAGAAATTCACGCTATTTTTTCTCAAATATTTCGTGCTTCCTATATTTTCACTGGTAAAATTAATTTTATCGACAAAATTCATCGAAGTATCTGATTAATAAAGTTGTGAAGTTGTTACTGGACAACAAAAACAATTATTTTTCTATTCAGTTAGTTGCAGAGCTTTGAATGCTAGAACAGCTCATACGAAATTGACAAATGACTGGGAAGAATTCAAAAATCTTCTTGATGAGAAATTTTTGCTCTTATCACCGTTTTGTGGTGGTATAGAATGTGAAGATGCGATCGAAAAAGAGAGCTATAAAGATGAGAAAACAAATCTTGGCGCACCAATGGGCGCAAAAACTCTTTGCATACCACTTGAACAAGTTAGTCAGATTTCACAAATTTTTATAGTCATTTATACGTTTAATTAGATAAAAGGAAAATAATTAATTTTAAAGATATAAGAGGATATTTCGTTGGAATTTAAGTAGTCCTTTTAGCCAGTCCATCAATTCCCGGAACATTGCATTCGTCCCGACTGTGGCAAGGCGCCAAGATATTTTGCAATATTTGGACGCAGCTACTGATTTTTCAATAGAGCATTTTATCGTAAATTTCATTATCGCCCATATGGAAAGTTTCGGATAATTTGCTAATTTTTTTGCCATTCTTATTTTTCTTTTTCGGATAAATTCGAAATTTGTTTCAAAATTTATTAAAACATTTATTATTATTACAAATTTATTAAAATTGCTTTTTTTGACCGTATAAATTTTAGGTTATGGGAAAATGGCGCATAGCTTTTATAGAATTAATAATATTTAGAAAATATTTTCTAAATTTTCATGTTGGTTATTTTGTATTTTGCTCCTATATTACCTCTTATTATCTCTTCTAATGAATATACTAATATACTAATGAATACTACAAATAAACAAGCTTCATTTAAATGAATTATTTTTGCGGCAAACAAATAATTAATCTTTCATAGCATACATTCTCAAATTAAAACATAATTTCATAATATTTGCAGATTTTCGCAATATTTAATCTTTGCATATAGCATTTTAAACATAATTTCCTAACTTCCTATCAAGCACTGGAGCAAAGCAATTCTGCTCCTAACTTTTAAGAAACATGACAGGACAAACTGTGAGAATTATCGAGGAATCAGCTTACTAGACGTTTCAGGGAAAATTTTTGCTTCTCTTCTACTCAGCAGATTTGTAGCAATATTTAAAACAGCGGAATCCTAACCAAGCTGGATTTAAACTGGGATACGATTGTGGTGACCAGATAATCAGAAGTGTGTTGGAATATCATTCCAAATATGCAATCCATCCTTGCGTGTTTCATCGACTTTGCGGTCCCCTCGATTCAGTTGATAGAACGGCACTTTGAGGTAATGAAACGCGACGGTGTTCCAGAGAAGATCGTTCGACTTATAAAGGTATTTTATCAACGTATGCTGGCACAGGTCCATATATGGAAGAATTGACCAGACTCCTTCGAAATAAAAACTATTGCCATTAAGGCTTAGTCTTACAATGTTTAACTATACGATAGACTGGACAATGAACATTCCTTGTCAGCACTTAAGAGGAGTGCAAATTGATCCAGAGCATAATATCATAGATCTTGAATACGCTAATGAGATGTAGTCCTTCTTGCTGACAATTATGATGAAATGCAAATAATGTTAAACAACTGCAACATGAATCAGAGTGCCTAATTTTAAATACCTTGTACCTAGTACCGAACGGCCATGCAAAAGACGAAATTGCAACCCGGATAATGATAGCTAGAAATACGTTCTTCCGAAATATTTAGCGAAAACACTATTAAAGTCCACGTCTATATAAACTGCGATTCGCCCGATCTTGCTATATGGCTGCGAGACATGGCCGATGAGAATGGAGGATATTAAGAAGTTATCTGCCTTTAACCACTCACGTTTAAGATATACTTTGAAGGTCCGCCGAGTGAATAAATACTCGCTCAAATACCATTTGAACAAACACTATCATATAGTGTCGTCTACTCTGGTTAGGACACGCTCTTCGTCGCACACCTTAGGAGTTGACAAATATTTCATTATTTGCTAGATTCTTTGACAGATGGCATCAAAAGGTAAGGTCGGCCAATCAAGACATATGCTGACACAGTAAGGCGAGATTTTGTATAGATGGACCAGTGATATATGGATTTAAACGATGGAAAAAGGGATGGCTTTTATTACTGTCGGTGATGGCGTCGGATCAAATAGCCTGGAGACGTCTTACCTTTATAGCCAGCGCAGCTAGCCAGTAATGGTGAAAACCGTTAGAAGAATATAATCATTAATTCAAGTAAAAACTAGGCAGATTTCATCTAATAGCTGTTTCAACCAGATTTCATTTCCTTCTAGCATTCTGTCTCCATGAAAATGTATGAATAGTTGCGGTATATTCAGAGGAAATGGAGATCGGCTAACCTTTGAACTAATTTCAAATTTCGCATAAAATGCCACACATTTGGGAAGGGTAGTTTAATCGTTCTGATGGGCCATTATAATAAACATTCGTTATTTCATTAGTCAAGGTGAGAAGCAGTGAGCGAAACCCATGATTCTTGGGAAATCTTTTTTTCTATATAATACAGATTTTATATAATCAAAAGAAACATTTCAAAGCAATAGTTAAAAACCTTTTCATTTTGCCATTGCTATGATATGATATAAAGTTTTTACAATCATTTACAATTAATTTTCCAAAATAAGCGAGAAAAATACTTAAATCTGAAAATTTCTTTAAGTGCTAATCGCGTTCAAGGAAAATTCAATCTCAATCCAAATATCGATATCGATTGTATTTGTATTCTGAATTTTAAAAAGAAGGAAATTTAAAAAACATACTGAAATTTGATATAGAAACAACTAAGTAACGTGATAAAAAATCTGTAAGATACCTCAACTTCAATCAATTAGGTTAATGCGACTTTTCAAAACTATTGCTTCACCTGCATGAATGAAAATCAACCAGTCAACATGATTGAAAGTATTCGTCGATCTTAAAAAAATGAAATTTATTAAATGAATTTGCACAATGAATATTTGATATTTAATAATAATTGTTAATAAATAATTTATTTTTTTAACGTCTCAGACTTCCTACAACTTATGCCTGTCGGAAATTTGCTAGATGATCAGTCAAACTTCTTGACATGTACGCTAATTCTGTTTTAAATTAATAAATTAACAACTTCTACTCCGAAAATATAAGATGTCCTACAAAACACGAACAAAACGTGTTTTTGAGCGCTAGGAAAATATACTTTGAATTAGTTTAACTGAATAATTTGTGTTTAATATAAATGAAGACAAGAATTTTTTAGTTTTTAAAAAATATCATACGAACCTTAATGCTTGGATAATTCGGCCAAATGAACTGTTTAAAAACACATGCATTAAATATATTTAAAGTTTATTTATTGTTGTCATTTAAAGTATAAAAATCGATCGTTGCGAATACTAAAAATAATGAGCGTTCATTGCAAATATTTGCAATTTACGGTGTAATAGCCGATTAGAAAACCATATTTCAGGATTTGATCAAAAGTAGAACGAACAAGCTTTGCAATTTCAATAAATCTCAATTTTTGAATAAAAAGAAATTGTGCTAAGAAGACTGTCTAAACTGTCTGCAAAAACTATCTGAGACTGTCGACCAAAAAATTTTCGAGTTTCGTTGAGAAATTTTTCTGGAAATTAAAAATTATGAATATATTCGAATAAAAAATAAGCAAGCAATTTATAAAAAAGCACTAGGCATAAAATGAGTAACTTGCTTGTCGAAAATTTCATATCCAATTTCAGAGACCAACTGCATAAATATCTGTTCTATAATCAATGAATCAATCCACTATAATCAATTCACGTACTTGGTGAGGAATGAATTACCTGTTAAAAATGAGTATTTGAAAATATTATTAAAGAACCAATATGCACAATAATTTCTTAATATTAATTCCTTAATATTAATTTTTTTTTTTTGCTATTTTAATGGTAACTTTAATGAACTGGTAAAAAACAATTTCGAAAAAACATCTTAATTGGAAGAAATATAACAGATCAAAGAAAATTTACAGAAAAAAGAATATAAAACGACAATCGATAAACCAACCACTTGAACTGAACTGCAGTGAAATATTACTGAATTACTGAGTTCTAATGACTAATTTTTTGCAATTAAATAAAAACATTACTGTTTCTAAAATTTGCGAAAATAATGTCTATTATCATTCAGAAGAAAACGATAATAATACAAGATATTTAAAATGATGCAAAAATCAAAAATGTTGAAGAATCTAAGGAATAAAGTTAAAGGAAAATGCAGGAAAATAAGAAAATAAATGGTATCGGTTTTTTATTATTGAAAAGAAAAACCCAAAAAGAAATTATCTGTGCACCACAAAATAGGTTTTTGTATTTAACGGTAAGCACATATAATTAATTCGACTTATCTTTTACATGCAATGCGGTAAATTCTTCCATTCGTTGCAATGACCTCCGATCATTAAAAAAATGATGCAAATACATTTTTTTATAATATTCGAATGTTAATACTTCAGACTTCCAGACTTAACATAGCAAATAATTTCACTATTTTCAAGCAGAATCAATTTCCATAAATAAACTCATCATAGCGAACTATCATAGCATCACAAATTCAGCATTAAGAGAGTTCGAATCAACTGAAAGTAAAAGTTCACAAATATTTTAACCTAATAAATGCTCGATGGTTCTTTGAAACCAAAGTTATACATGGTCTTAAGCGCAAGTGATAATTCTTGACAATTTGTGAACAAATGAACATTAAAAATTTTGAGCTTCCTAAGTAGTACCTTTTCTTGTACCGACCAACCAAAGCTTGTAAACTGAAACATTCTGAACAAAACCAACCAAATCTCCAATAAAAATTTGCAAAAAAACATAATTTTCTAAATAAAATTCAAGAATTGTACGCTCAAATAAATTTCAACTATGAAATTTATTATCTCCACAAAATATGAAAATATGAAAAAAAAAACGATGACAAACATTTGATAAATAATAAAGAATTAAATCTAGAAAATAATTATGGAAAATACGAAATAAAACATATAAACATATCTAATCAAAAACTTATGATTTTATGCAGTGATAAATTGATAAATGAACATTACTTGATTCCCTTAATAATATCAATTCAAAATGCATAAAAACAGGCAAGAAATGACAGAATTAACAGATAATTTATAAAAAGCAAACTTCTTTTTAGTTTTTATAAAATAATTTTTATAAAATACCATTAAACATAGAGTTATTAAATAAACAATTTATAAGCCCAAATAATTTTTTAGAAAAAGAAAAAGATTGAAATAAAAAGTTTGGCTGATAGGTTAAAGAAGAAAATTAGGGTTGCCAAGTACGACATTTTTTATTTTGCGTCGTCACCAAAAATTACCCTTAGCATAAACTAACTTTTTTGAGAGTTGCATAATAAGATTTCGGTGATTAATGAATCTGCTAATATCGCTTTCTTAAGATTTCTGCTCATAGAAACTACAACACATTTACCCAATTAACACAAATACACACTTGTCGGATTTAATGTGAAATGACCTGTTTGATCTCTGATTTCACAGAATTTAACTAGTTTTGAAAAAGTGGAAAAATGAAAACATTTCATAGAAACGGAATGACTAATAACGGAATGACCAGCGGTTAACGCTGAGCATTTCTGTTAGGCTCGTCCATCTGGCTCGGATGGATCCTAAGCAAGTGCGTCTTCTTCAGCAACTGTACTTTAGCAACATTTAAGCCTACCAAATGCAAGAGGCCAGCCATAACGCTTGAAATGTGACAATGAAACACGTGTGATAAGTAGCTGGAAAAATAACGCTGACAATAAAAAGCTAGCAGTCTGCGAGAAATTCGAGAACAGCTCACTTCGAGAAGCACTTGGTGGGAGAGAGACGGTTTGCACATCGCCACATCCGAACGCTGCGATCCGATTCCGATCGTCCAACAATTCCGACATTTTCTTCAAAATCAGCGCAACTGATTGAATTCGTACGACAAATAGCACTGACTTTAAAATAGAGAGCTTGTTTTTTACTGCTTTAAGCTGAGCAGTTGCTGACGCTCAGCTTTGCTTTCTACAGTGCAGCAAGGTGGGTGGTACCATGTGAGCTTCGGATTCCCCGCATTCTTCATACAATCGGTGTAAAGTCGTGGTTTTGTCAGATTTATTTTCGAAAGCCTTTGATAAGGTCGTCTGTTTCGGCTGAAATCAAGTAATCTCGCTGGGTCGCGATTTTTCGCGAAGTTTAGGGTGAAATCTGGTTGATGCTCGAAATCGACTTCTTCCTCTGCGATCCTGCCTATTTGCATATTCGTTACAGAAGTTCCAAAGTCACTGCCAAATAAAAATTACTCATAAAAATTGCAGAAAAGATGGGAAATATCACGTCAGCGATAACACCCGATCAAATTCTGCCCGTCGAAACGTTTATTAACGATCTGCCAAATATGCGCTTCGTCAAGAGGTTTGTGAAGAAAAAATAGTTTATGTATCGCGTTTTCATCATATTTCACTTTTTCACCACATTTGTCTGGAGAAGTAAATGTTTGTAAATGAATGGTGAACAATGAATGTCACTTATACGGTGCTCCCTGGCATATTGCCCAATATAACGAGCTAGTGGAGCGAGTTTAACCAGTAATGGTGAGGACTCTTAAAGCTTATGGGATGCACGGTGAGAGAGCGAAATTCGAAATTCCTCCCTGGCTCTGCTGGCCTTTCTTTTCTTTCCTTTGCTGTTCCCATGCAGTTTCTTCTCTTTTCTGTTCTATTTCGAGTAGTTTTTGAGTAGCGATAACCCATATTGACTGATGTCAATGTCGAGTGTCGTTGGTTCGTGCTGCCCTACTCTTTGGCAGGCGAGAACCTGTCATGCCGATAATGGCAAATGCCTGGGCCTAAAACAAACTTATTACGATGAGTGAACGTAGTTAAATGAGTCAGTCGACTGCTAAAAGTGGTGTCTTATGTTGGCTTCATTATTTAGCTCGGCAATATTTTCTAAATCTAAGGCTGAAATTTTTGTTTCGCAGGTCAAGAACTCTTTTGTGCAGTGGATTTCTTGCATGTGCAAATAGCGACTTAAAGTGGTGAGTAAAATGTTATCAAGTCATAGGAGCACATGAACGGAGCTCACTCAGAGAGATCAGACGGGTAGCCAGATTCGAAGTTAAAATTATTGTTGCATTAGTTTGCTTATTTCTCGTTTTTTTAGCTTGGGCAATACTCGATTCATGAAGGTCGCAAAAGCTGATTTTTTAGATGGTTCAGTGATTCCTGTTGTATTGAAGTTTTTTATACCGCATGAAGAGGATTTTTTAGTTGGTCGTTATGTGGATCAAGTAAATTCTTTTCATGCATTTTCGATTCATTTGATCAATTTATTTTGGTCTTTCTTAATTAATTAATTTGCAGGTGTATCTGGTTCGAGATTTGCTATATACTGCATATAATTGTTGTCCATTCAAAAACGTTTTCGTGAGTGGATTTATTATTTAGTTAAATAGGAATTTTCAGTTATTCACGTTTTTTCTATCATATTATTCGTTTATCACCTGAAGATGCAATATATGAATCGCTAATTTTGTAAGAAGAAGGGGCACATAAATATTTATGATAGATTCTCGAAATTTTCGCGTAATATTTTCTTTTCATTGGATTTGGTCATTTTTGTCATTGTCATTTTTCTGTTTTTATAGGTCATATAAGTCACGATTTACACTATATTTGATCATTTAGGAAAGTCCAAAAGCTCGAAAAAAATACGATATATTTTTTTGCGTGCCCAATGATTATTAACCACAGACCTGGTCTTAGTTAATAATGCTCGAAATCTCAATTTATGAGGGCGGCAAAAAAATGTAGTTAAGTTGGCTGGTTCATTTTCAGCCAGCACTCGTGAATTATTGCTTTTATTGCTTGCTTTATTGTTGAGATTTGTACAAAATTAGATTGAATTCTTGGTAGTTAGTTTCAAAGATTGGAAGGTATTTTAAATGAAAAGTAACAATTATAACAACTAATCATTGGTTCTTCGGCATTTTCATAGGGCGGAAGGCTGAAAAATTAAGGAGTTATAACTTATCAGGCTCGTCAATTTCTTATTTCATTATCGCGGTACAAATTTTATTTATTTTTTTTTAGGTAACACAGCGTTGTGTAATTCTTTCTCGTCAGTATTACAAGGAAACATTATACAATCGGCTAAGTACTCGGCCTTTTCTTCTGGATATTGAAAAGAAGTGGATTACATTTCAATTGTTAAAAGTATTTTACTGAAAATTTAACAATTTACTTGCATACTCTTCCATATTTTTAAATTTCCAATTACGATTGATTTGGAGGCAGTGGCTCAATGTGAAGCGGCAGATGTTTGTCACGGTGATTTAAAATCGCAGAATGTTGTTATTTCAAGTTCAAACTGGGCTCAAATCACGGACTTTGCTACTTTTAAACCAGCTTTTGTTGCATCGGTTATTTTTACACCTTTTTATTTTCTTCTTTGTTTTTTAGAAAGTTAAAAAGTTCCTTTAGTGACAAAAATTAATTCAAGTAGGATAATTTGCAGGATGATCCATCTTATTTTACATTCTTCTTTGATACTAGTCGGCGAAGAACATGTTATTTGGCACCGGAACGTTTCTATCCTAGTCATCAAATCAAATTGTATACGGACGCTCCCAGACAGTTTTTGGATATTTCAAAAGGCCTTACGCACGCGATGGATATATTTTCATTAGGATGTGTACTTGTTGAATTAAACTCAACTGTCGAGGAATATTATCCATTTAGTTATGGTGAACTTGTTAAATATAAGTGCGCTTTTTCTTTAATTATTAAATTATTTGTTTTTGAATTTGAATTTGAAAAGATATCCCTTATATTTCGAAAAATATTAAAATTATTTTAGGGAAATGAACGACCAAGAAGCAGATATTTTCGTGCAGAATATTCTGGAGAAGGTTCCTCATGCTTTGAGAAGAATGATCGGATTAATGTTGAACAGAATTCCATCTAAACGATTGACTGCGACGAAGCTCGTGAGTATTTCCCATTCTTACTTTTTCGTGCTGATATGCTCCTTTTTATTTGTCTTCTGTAAGTGAAATATAAGGAAAAATTTTTTTGAGAATTAAAAGGCTTTTTAGATTCTATTTGCATCTTTTACATATATCTATCGAATATCGTTTCATATATAATTCTTTAAAACATAATATGATTCCAACGATTTTGCTTATTTTTAGTTGCAAAAATTTGGTCCTGAAATATTTCCTCCTCTTTTCGAAAATTTGCTTTATGATTATATTTATGCATTTCGTCCAAAATTTTCTTATTCAAATGATTCAGTTGAAGAAAGCAACCAAAACTTAATTTTAATGGATTCAGATGATGCAATTGCAAAGTTGGTGATATTTTTTTTGTGCTGCTAAATCATTAAATATTTACATAAAAAAGGGAAAGAAGTTTTATGGGAAGCATTTAAAATATAAGCATATAAAGATATAAAAAATTTTTTTCTCTTGTGAAAAATCTTGTTGGACAGCATCTTCGGAATTGTAAATTTTCCGATAATTTTTTACAATTTTTACATTTATATTTTCAAAGTATATTCTTTAATTATAGTGATCATTTTTGCTGTATAGATTGGCTCGTGATATGGACATGATAATGGAGATGCTTTGTAAAGCGAACAATGGTAAAAGTGATGAACAGTTATCATGTGTTGCACTTTTTATCACATTAGTAGCATCTAATTTAAGAGCTTTGAAATCAGTGGCTTCAAAATCGGTGAGCTTTATTTATTATATTGTTTTTTACGAATTTTTATTTCGTCTAATCCTTCCTGCAATTTGTCATTCAGTTTTTTTTATCCATTATTGTATTTCTGTTGTATTAAAAATTTGATGAAAATTACATATTCATAAATAAGTATTATTAAAAAAATATATATATATACATATTTATATATGTAGATTATTTTTTTGTTGCGTATTCACGAATTTTTTACATCTTATTCTACATCTTATCTTATTCTAATATTGTTGATTCAATTTTTTCGATTGCAATGAAAATGCTGCAGCGTTTTGCTACAGTTGCAGATCCATCAGTTATTGCTGATCGAATTTTACCATACTTGGTTATTTTTCTTTCTTTTATTTTTGCTTGTGATTTTTCTTTTGTGTCCTGCGGTTTTACGGTGCATATGGCTTTAAATTCCTTATCTTATGGTGATTTATTTGGTATAATTTTAGTGGTTGCTTTCGTAAATACTTTGAACCAGATGAAATATTGTTTGGGCGAAAATTACCGCTTTAATTACTTCATTTTTTAATAATTATGATAATAATAATTTATAATTTAATAGTAATAATAATGATAATAATAATAATATGCTATTTTTATTTTTTAATTGTATAATCCTATCTTAATATTTTTAGCTGTTAACTATATACAGGTTAATATGTTCTATGATTCTTCATTGCAAGTTAGAAGTGAAGCAATTTATAAAATAACCGCTATTCTATCATCTTTGGAAAAAATTCCCATTCGAGAGACTCGTCTTTTCATTGATTATTTGTTTCCACATCTGGTTAGATCTTTTTAATAAGTTGGCAATATTTTTTAATTTTAATAAAATTTCGTAATTTTACATTTCAAAAAAATATTGTTGAGGAGAAATAATTTAAAATTAATTTTCAAATTTTACGTTGAAATCCGTCATCAAGATTAATAAAAACTTTGCAGAAGATTGTATCTACAGATCCTTCCAATTTAGTGCAGATGGCATTGGCGGAAAATTTAGGTATCTTATCGGAAACTTCTGTCAGGTAATTGATCAGTTTTTATTAGTTAGTGAATTGAATCTCAGATATCCTTACGAAATAATTCGTGTAATCTGTCATAACCTAATGTCTTCGATGTAGATTCTTATACCAAAGTTCGAAAAATTTAACAATTGATCTTCTTGGCAATTCAACTGTCGGCGAAGCTGAAGAAAAAGCTGATTGGGAGAATGAATTAGCTCGTCAAGAGCTGAGAGCGCTTCATGAAGCAGTGAATGAAATTTTTATAAATCTTTGTGGTTCAGATAATTGTGTTAAGGTATTTTTTTATCAAAGAATTATATTATTTTTATCTTGTATATTTCTTATATATATATATATCTTAATTTTAGCATTGTTTGGTAGCATCAAAATCCTTCCCTATGCTTTGCCAATTTTTCAATCGTCAAAGATGTAAATTTTTTGTTAATTCTATTTAACTATTTTCATTTTATGAAACTTATAAGTTTCAACCACATTCAGATATGAAATGTATATCAAATATTAACCTAAAATTTTCGCACTTTCTCTAATTTCTACGTTGGATTTTTTTATATATTTATAGCAATATTTGTTTTAAATGGAAATAATGGATTTTAACGGAATTAAATTCCAAAAATTTTCAAAATCCTCCCCTAACAGTTCAAAACTGTGGAAACTTTAAAAATGGCCTATCTAACTTCATCAGTTTTGCCTTTAATTTATTATTTTTCAAAGTATTCAAAATGTTTTCTGAATTCAATAACACTTTAGAATTCACATTTGAAAAAATTTATTTGTTAATTATCACCGAAGAAAAAAAAAAGAAAAATCTACCGATTTATTGCAGCAACGGATGTTTTGTTGTCGCACATGATTACGTTCTTGAATGATAAAGTTGATTGGCGTCTTCGAGCCGCGTTTTTCGAATGTTGTCCAATAACAGCAAAGTTCGTTGGTCGACAAAGTACTTTCATTCTTAGATCACTTCTGCAACAGGTACATTTTTACATTTTACATAGTAGCATTTCATTTTGGTATCAAAAACCTTTAAAATAATAAAATATTTTGATATGATTGATAATTTATTGCTATCATTGTTCTCCTTATTTTCCAATTATATTTTTAGGCAGTTTCTTAAAAATAGACTGAAGTCTTATGTTCGTAGTTTTTATATTTTATTTTTAAGGGTATACATGATTTCGAAGAATTCGTGCAACTTCGTGCATTTTGGTGTATTTGTACATTATGCAAGGATCAACTGTTGGATAAAGCAGCTATTTACGAGTTATTAGATGATGTTGTGCCTTTTCTTTCTCATCCGGTCTGTTTTTTAATGTTAGGAATTTTTATATTTGTTCGTGGTTATCGATTGGAAGACTATTGTCCCTCTCTTTAACTCCTGGAATTCTTTTTAATTCCGCTTGTCAAAAAATATTTCTGGTAAAATATTGGTAGCTTCCCATTAAATGGAGAGAGAGTACTAGAAAAAAATATATATTAATACTAAATTATTAAATCTCTTTTTTTTCGTATCGTCCAATGAGAACAATACGGTACACTTCGATCTCCAAGTTGTTTTTTGATTGAAGTAAATGATTTTAGAATGAGTGGTTGAGACTGGCTGTGGTGAATATTTTGGTTGCCCTTGATGAATCCTTAAATGTGGCTGATGTACACTGCAAATTAATGCCTCTTATAAAATCTCATCTTAACGAGAATCTTATTAAACTTAATAACAAGGTATTTTTCCTTCTCTCTTAATCATATAAATTTTTTAAATTATATATAAATATAAATTTTTTTCTATCCTGATTCATTTCATCATTTCATTTCATTACAGTTTATATTAATTGCAACACTTCGTCCTCCGATATCCCGGGCTATATGGGCATTTGTGGTCAATGAATCACCACTAATTCCTCTTCTTGATTACCTTGCTGAAAAGCAGATGTTTATCGCTCTAGAAGGTGGACCGAATTCAATTATAGCTACAAATAGGAGGTTACTGTTTTTCAACTGAATTTTTGCTTCATTGTTTTCATCACTGGGCTAATCGAAAATATTAATTTCATAATTAAGCTAATGGAAAATATAAATTTCATCATTGAACATTTTTACTGATCAGGCAATGTTTAAAGATTTCGCTTCTCACTTTCTAATTATGTTATTCATATGGTAAATGAATTTTATGAATATAATTTAATTGTGCGATGCCAAACTTAGTAGATTATTGACTTTTTTTAAGCATTAATCCATCAAGTTATGAACTGGAATTATGCTTGAAGCGACTGGAGATACTGGGTCTCAATAATGAATTTGAAGAGAAATTGGTCAAATTTAATAACGTTCTCAGGAAGATGCACAGCTTTCGTGTTAGGTTATTTGTTAATTTTTCAATCTAATTCGAACTGTGGATCCATAATCTTGCCAGTTCATTTTCCTTGTTACTAAAAAGTGCTTCTTCAAAAAAAGTTACCAGTTTGTCCGTTCATTCACTCTAATCAATTAACCCATATTTAATTAACCTATATTTTTCAGTTTTTCTTTAGCAGTTAATAATTAGATTTGTTTATTTTGCTTTTAGTATGATCGATGGTCGGCAAATTTGCAAACATAATTCCATTGATTTAAATCTTCTGCCTGATGTGATGCCTAGAAAATTTGATCTCACTAGTCAATCACATACTCATGAAGCTCAAAAAGTAACAGATAATTAATTATTGCATAGCTTCGTTATTATTCGATTCTTGATTATTAGGCGCCATATTTAGGCTTTTTATTTCAGTACGAGGAAGCTGTAGATTGGAGCAATCTTTTCGGTGAGGAGCCTCCTGAAGTTATGATTTCTGATATTTGTGTAGCAGGAGTTTCAGACAGTTTTTTTGCGTCAAAATTTCAGGAATATGATATGAATACATCGTCTTCTTGGGATCTTACTGGTAAGTGGTTTAATTATTGTTTAATTATTACTATTTATTTATTTTTTGCAAAATTATTTATTCTGTAGTGCGATCATCGTCATGTAGAATTTCTCTGTTGAAATTATTTATGTACATGCGGCAATGCTATTTGAAAAAGACATTACTGCATCCAAAATCGAATCGTTTGGTGCACGAAAGAGTCGAAATGAATACCTCTATAATAGCTCGTACTCAGCAAGTCGGCACTCAGTTTTTAGGTCAAATATACGCACACAAACCTGTTCTTAGGAAGTTTGCTTTTAATAGTTATTTTCATTTTTTTTACCTTATAAATTTGATATAATTTTAATACAGTACGATTGACTTACCATTATTTTTTCGAATGATTCTCTTGTTCCTGTTGATGTTAGAAACATAGCAGTTGCTATGAATTGTTTTGCAAATAGGGCAATTTGTGGAATTTTTGAGGTTTTAAATTTTTTTCTTTATTAGATATTCTTCATGTTTGAATTATTAGGATTGCTCTTAATAATCGTGAATCACACTTTGTAAGCGCTGGGTCCGATGGTTTTGTAAAAGTGTGGTCAGTTGGCCGAATATTATCGAAACGCACTGGTATGATGATCCCGGAAGGAACTTTTTCTTACGGTAAATTTTTCGCATTTTTCTTCAATTCTTCGTTTCAATTTTTAAGGTGATTTTTTTTTAAGATTCGTTTTTCGCCGATTAAATAGATTAAATAGATCTGCCTTAGGCGAAATTATTTTTCAAATCAAATCGTCATTCAAATTCACTGCGTCAGCAGCAAATAGAAACATCATTTAATAAAAGTATAGAATTTATTGTATTTTTGCTTCAACTATACCTTTCTAGGTCGCGAGATAAATTCAGTTAAATTTATTGGTTACGATGACCGTCTTGCGATTGCAACTGGTGACTCAAGGATATGCATTGTTGATACTAAACATTTAGGGCTTATCACGACGATAAATTTTTTAGAAACTGATCATGGAGCCCCTATAGAATTAATAGGGGCTAATAATTTACTATTTGTTCGTACATTTCATGGATCCATATTTTGTTTCGATTGCAGGTTTTTAAATTATTTGTTTATCAGATGTTTTTTTACTTATATTTTTTTTCTAAATTTATCTTAGGATAGTTATTCAAAAAATGAAAATTTCTGGATCTCTCTATTTTTTTCTCTAGAATACCGCAGACACGTAAATTTGGAATCAAACCTTCTCCAATATGGCATCATAAAGTCAAAGATGCTTATGGTTTGATTACCTCGTTTTGCACTGATCCTTCGAATCTTTATTGGATGTGTATGACGAGTACGAACAGGAATCTTATTTTATGGGATTTAAGGTATCGTTGAAAATTCCTATTTGTGTGATGTCTGTTAGTGTCTGTTCATATGTGGGAACAAAGACTATGGGGATTATTTGGATTTAAATATCAACATATATTGGCCAAATTTAAATCATATATAATGTTGCAGTTCGTCCTATTCTTTTTGTAAAAATGTTTTATATTTTGAATGTTTTTTGTCAGATTCGGTTTGGAAGTGAATAACTGGCCTCATCCTTGTAAAAAGTGCCGCATGATGCGTTGTTGGCCTGCCTTAAATATGGGAAATACTTCCGGACCATGCAACGAAGTATGGACTTCTGCATCGTGCAGCGGTGAACTTTCGCGATGGAGTCTTGAAACTGGTCAACGTTCACATGTGATATGGCCTAATTGTAACAGGCCTCCTCTGAAATATGTTGATGCAAGTGATTTTGCTTTTTTTCAAAATTTGTGAATTTTTTAATATTGTACCAATTTAGCATTAATTTAAATTAGGATTGGTTCTTAATAACATCTTGTAAATTTTTTGCAATAGATTACAAAAAATTAGACATAGCATTTTAGAAACAATATTTGAATTAGGTTACCAGCTTGATTTTGATTTTTTTTGACTTATATTGCATTTACACTTATATTTCTATTTGTATCTGTGAAAATAAAATAGAATTTGCGTATTTTATATTTTCCTTTTTTATATGATAACATCTTATATTTTTAGGATAGGTATACTATCACATCACTAGTCACTTGCCCTTCTTCTGGTCGGATATTTGTTGGCGATTGTTTTGGAGCTTTAAGATCATTCAATCTTAGAAGCGCGAAAGAATGCTTCTATCTTTCTGGGCCACTAAGGCAAACTCAGGATATAATTAGTGCATCTGCATCACATCAAAATGATATTCGTTATAATGTAACGGTTGTGGATACTATTGATGTTATTCATGAGAATTCCTCAGACTGTAATGTCAAATCGCTCTTCGGCAGATCCAATAAAATGCAGGTAAATTTTATGAGGTGAATTTTCGTGATGAGTAGCGATGAAAATGCTTGTAGAATCTTTACTTAATCAAAATTTTAGGAAAGAAAAATTTTTCTAGATTCTTTATTTTCAGCCCGAAATTAGCCATACTTGTGCTATTGAAGGATTATTACGGACTGGTGATTTGCTAATATCAGCTTCACGTGATGGAATAATTAATATATGGAAATGAAATGGCTATTTCTATATTGTCATGGTGAATTTCTACTTGTGTAATTTTTAGGATTGATAATTATTTCTTAATATTAATCATTTTTTCTATTAAAATTCTCTTGGATCTGATGAAATATGCAAAAATATGAAATATTTTTCTAGCAAAAGCAATTTTTTAATCATGCTAGAATTATTGAAATGGCGACAAAAATGTGGTACTCGAGTCGACCTTTATTAATGAATTCGTCATATTTTTTTCTATTGTCCTTGAATCTTTAGAAATATCAAGTTTTCATGGCTCAATGGCTATGAATAACTGTATAATTATCTATCAAAAATTAAGTGAATGGTTCAATAATTTCGTCAAATAATGCTTTAAAAAATTATATTTGAAAGGCACCATTAAAAAATTCTCTGAAAATTTTTAAGGAAATTTATCTATTAAGGGAAGAAAAATTGCAATAAATTAGTAATTAATATGAAATTTTTCGATAAAAATGATGTAAGATTCAATGGTAATTTTTATAATTAATATATTTTTGCCTTGTTCGCCATATTGCTTGAAAATGATAATTTTTATAATTAATATATTTTTGCCTTTTCTTTACTAGTGTTATTTCCATTATAGTGTGTTGTTATTTTTTAATTAGAATGATAGATTTGAAAAATGATCGTTAAAACAAAATGTGTAATGTAATTGTCTTATAATAACAGGTTTATTCCCGTTGGAAATAGTATTCGGAACTTGACGAGCACTATAGACAGCGGTCTGTTGGTTTTATTTTTCTTTAAGATGTGATGTGAATTTTTTAGTTGCAAATAAGTAACATTCTAAAAATATAATTTTGGTTTATAAATTTGATTTACGATTGAAAATCTACGATTGAAAATCGTTGTAGTTGTCGAAAATCGTCTGTTTGTATCCTAAAGCCTAAGTCTTTTCTTCTAATCCCATTTAAGACAGTTTGGGAGAGGAAAGTGCATGGTGATAAGAGATAGAGATGCGTCTTCGGCATCGCTTGGATTTGGTTTATTTGTATAGAAATGAAATTATGAAATTTATTTAACGTCGAAATTTTCGGTTAAATGTATCTACTTTTCGTCTTAAGGACCATTTTCGACTTAGCTTTATGGCTTTTAAAACTAAACTAATTTAAATTAAACGAAATATGTCCAAATGTCCGAATAGATCAGCGAATGAGCGAGTAAGTAAATCCTCTTTCTGTTCTTTCATAATATTTATAATGATTTCCAAACCAGCATTTATTCATGTTATTAATAATACCATTCATCTTATTTCCTCTTTTGATTATTTGATGAGATTCCACTATACAGGAAGAAGGCGGAATTTCCTCGCTAAATTTCGAAATATATTTAAAAACTTAGTTCCTTTATATTCTATTTATAGGGCGAACAGAAGTACTGCTAGCAGAATCTATGTGGTATAGGTAATATGTGGTATTTATTTATTTTTCGCACTTCGTTTTAATGAAAAATATTTTGTGGAAAAAATATTTTGTACTAATTCGATGAGTTCTCATCCGAAATAAATTTGTTACTCTCTGTTTTATATGGATGTTTCGTCTAGCTGATTTAGTATATAGAGACGAATCCATAGGTTGCACCAGAATGCCAAAGACGTTACTGACGGAATTAAACGAAAGACATGGGAATTGGAGATAGCCGATTAATTGTTGATTAGACAAATCATCTTGACAGCGAGAATTTGCCCACTCCATTAAAAACCTAAAAAATCCGCGTGGTTCTAGCTATTCACTTTCATTTATATCGCCAAGTCTCTATTAATATTTCTCGGATACCATAGAAATAGCCTAGTCAGAAGTCAGAAGTGGTTGGCATTAACCACTTATTTACTCTCGAGAAATCTGATTATTCAATAAATATTTTTCGAGAGTTAATGAAATAATAATTAAAATCACTAGTGACAATCAATGGGGTCCGATCTACGAAAAATTTTAAAATCAGTACCAACATTTGTTTAATGCGAAATTGACACCAGAGGGATGTGCAAACCTATAAATGAAATGCGTTTTCTTTCCATAGGCCACTATTTCAGTTAAATCGTTTCCTCTTTTCAAGCTCATTTACAAATTCTCAGAATATTTTGGACTTAAAAAGTGAGAGAAACTTTTTACTGGGTGTCTGCTGTCATTAATTTATCGCTATGATTCGTAGCAAAAAACATTAGCACTTCTTGTAATCGCTAATTCATACAATAAAATGAAAAATGCATTCAAAGAATCTATAAAAACCGGATGACATATTCACCGAATGGTAGGAAACGACAGAGACAGACAGTTTGCCACAAAATGGCTGGGAAGTTATATTTGCCTGATGAAGAGATGGTAATGTTCATACAGTGTTATCATGTATTTGTTGTATTTTGTATGAATAAACTTCATTTCCGCATTTTCGTCTTTTATTATAAATCGCCTATTATCATCTGCCTGATTTCCGCGATTTTGCTAGAATAATGAACAAATGTTAAAACTGAAATATTTCAGAAAGTTGAATCGAATCTGATTGCTTTTATCGAATTTTTTTGCATTAATCTGGAAATCCCCTGAAATTTATGCAATTCGCTTACAACTGCATTAAATTTTCATAGTTAAAGCAAAACGTTAATGTGGTTAAAGTGAATTTTTACACAAATTACAATAAATAATTTCATTTCTTTTTCTCGTTCACAGTATCTGGTAAATTAATACAGGTAAATTATTACAAAGAAAGCTCCCAAGTTTATCCGATCAACGAAAGCACCGTGCTGAAAGGATTTTATCTTACAGCCTATAGAATTAGTAAATAGTATTGTCATGAATGAGTTCAGCCATTAATTTGGAATTGCTTAGAGAATATGTAGAACGTACGCGAACTGTGCAAAGAAAACCCAATACTTAATCAACCGTGAATGATGGACGAGAGAAAATGAAGTGAATGACTGTAGTTTGGAAGAAAACGGTGATTCCTTGAGAGTATATTTTTATCATTATAAAACCGTTATTCAGAATGAAAAGAAACTTTTTTATGTGAAGTTTAAGGTTGAATGAGTTGGAATGTCCATTAATCTTGTACAAATTTTAGGTGGCTTAAATTCTTTCATATTTGGGATTTTCGATCTGAAATTTTCATTAAAATTTTTCAAATTATCTTTGAAGATAATGGCCACAAGATAATAGCCAACATGGCTCAAAATTTTATTTTCTTGAATTTAAGTTAAGTGGTTAAGTGGTCAGTTCAGTGGTGGTCATCATTTCTGGTTGTGCCTACTCCGCAGTCTATTTGTGCTATTAGATGTTTTTTGCCAAGGAATTAACGATAAAAATAAAACTGAATTGCTAGCACCATATGGAATTGATAAATTTTTTCTTGCTATGAGAGAAAACGAACCTCCGAAGCTCGAAACATATTTTTTTCGACTAATATAGGTCCTTTTCACTCCAATCATCCAATATAATGATTTGATAGTTTTTTCTAAATTTTATTCGTTCCTTTGAATCTTATCGTGTAAACTGTGGTAGTTGAAACCCCGAAATCGATTCAAATGAAATTTATATTCGAGGTAATAAGTTGAATAAACGACACAGTTTTTTGATTCATCATATTTTTTTCAAAAAATTTTCTGTTTTTAATTAGTGTTATCGAAGTTACTGTATCGATACTGATATCGAAGTTTCTTGTTTATATTTATCTAACTGTAATTTTTTTGAAGTTTCCTTCGCATCAATACGAATAGACAAATGCTGAAAAACCGCTTATAATGACATAAACCATTTTTATTTTGGTTACTTCCATTGATTGCTAGCATGAAATCCTTTCGGCATTTGGAGATGGAAAGATTCGAGGTCCAGCAGTCTGGTTTGATAACACTCCTAATCATTATAACTGATTTCTTTTAATTTCGAGCTTTGTTTTTAAAGGATTAGAATGTGTACACTCTACATTGTAAATCGAATAATAATAAATATTTAGTGCAAAATACGAAGTATAAACTTCGATTTACGATTTTTCCCAGTTCAATTACCTCGTTCAAAATTCATTGAGTGGATCCTTTCTAATAATTTGGGTTTTCTTTAAATGCAACGCTCATATATTTGAAGGTAGCAGAAAAATTTTTCACGCGTTCAAAGTTTCATTAAATTTCCAATTTTTTGGAGAAAAATTAATAATTTCTATCAAATAAATGCCAAGTAGTGAATGATGTAATGATCTGTTTGTTTCTTCCAATTTTTTTCTCAGTGTAATTTTTGTAGTGTTTTTTATTGTACATAGAATAGTTGCTCGTTGGCGTCAATAATAAAATGCTTATATATTATGGCGCTGATCTGTGCCTATGCTGTGGAACCTTTTGCTATACTTATAAATTATCACTCAGTTGAACTATTCTACAAATCTTAAATAAACTCATGTACAATACAAACCTGAACTGAACTGCTTCATTCATTACAGTTTTAAAATTTCACTGTATTTTTCATTTAATCGAACTCAAATTTTAAATTTAAATTATTAATTATGTTTGGAAATGAGTTTATTCGATAATCAAAAACATCTTTTTGGTGGTTGTAGGCAATGGAAATGAGTTTATTCGATAATCAAAAACATCTTTTTGGTAGTTGTAGGCAATATTTCTTCTAGCACTCACTTTTGCTTTGTGTCTTCGGACACTCTAATGGCTGTTAAAATGAGAATCTTTTGCCGGAATCATTTGGGAATAGAAGTTGGGTTCTGAGTGCTGCCTAAATTTCATTTTTGATGATACATATGATGTAGAGACACAGCAGTCGAACTTTGATCTCAGTTGAAAATCTCAAGATATCAGTCGGTTATTCTATCATTTGATAATGCCTCTATTCGTTTTCAAAATATGTTATAAAACAATGATTTTTAATGTTTTTAACTTATCAAAGAAACATGCGAATCAATTCAGAGCATAATATCTTGCTGATGATTTATAGTCCTTTTTGATGACAGATATGACGAAATGCAAATAACGCTAAACGA